CACTTAACAACAACTACTACCATGCAGGGTTGTTGTTGTTAGGTACATAGTGGCCCTATGCACCACAGGATGAAACAGGGTCTGTCCTGTATCATCCTCACAATTATTGCTGCATTTGAGCCCTTTGCTGCTACCACTGAGTCAGTCCATCTCCTTTTGCTGACCCTGCACTTTACCAAGTATGATGTCCTTCTCCAGGCACTGGTCCTTCCTAATATGTCCAAAGCATGGGAGACAGAGTCTTACCATCCTGATTTCTAAGGAGCATTCTGGCTGTACTTCTTCCAACACAGATTTATTTGTCCATGGTACTTTTAATATTCTTCTCCAACACTATAACTCAAATGCATCAATTCTTCTAATGATCTTCCTTATTCATTGCCCAACTTTCACATGCATATGAGGCAACTGTAAATACCATGGCTTGAGTCAGATGCATCTTAGTCCTCAAACTTAATCTTTGCTCTTGAACACTTTAAAAAGAGTCCTGGTGTGGCGCTGTGGGTTGAGCATTGGACTGCAAAGTTGATTTCAACCACAAGGTTGGTGGTTCAAGCTCACCAACTGCTCCTCAGAAACCCTAAACAGGGTCGCTATGGGTCAGAACTGGCTCTATGGCACTTAACAACAGCAATTTGCAGTAGATTTTCCTAATGCAATATATGTCATTTGAGTTCTTGACTGCTGCTTCCATGAGTGTTTATGGTAGATCCAAGCAAAATGAAGTCTTCAACAACTTCAATCTTTTTTCTCCATTTATCATTATGTACTTGTTGGTCTAGTTGTGAGAATTTTTGTTTTATTTACATTGAAGTGCAATCCATGCTGAAGACTGAGGTTTTTGATCTTCATCAGTAAATACTTCAAGTCCTCTTCCCTTCCAGCAAGTAAGGTTGTACCATCTGTGTATCACAGTTTGTTAATAAGTCTTCCTCCAATCCTGATGCCATGTTCTTCTTCATATAATCCAGTTTCTTGGATTAGTTGTTTAGAATACAAATTGAATAATTATGGTTAAAGAATACAACCCTGACACACACTTTTCCTGATTTTAAACCATTCAGTATCATCTTGTTCCGTTCTGACAACTGCCTCTTGGTTTATGCATAGATTCATGTTCTAAAACTTGCCTCTTGGTTTACGTATAGATTCCTCATGAGCACAAGTAAGTGTTCTGGAATACCCATTCTTCACAATGTTATCCATAGCTTGTCGTGATCCACCTCTTCCAGCACTATAACTGATACTATTCTGATACTATTCATAATATTTTCATTTTCCTGCACTGTATCTAACAATGTTCTGTTGCTATTCATAATGGAAGGTCAGAGAAAAAGAGGAAGACCCCCAGCGAGATGTGTTGGCACAGTGGCAGCAGCAATGGGGTCAAGTGTGGCAACAATTGTGAGGTTGGCCCTATGTTGTGCATAAGGTTGCTATGAGTTGGTACCAACTCAATGGCACCTAACAACAACAACAACAAACATTCAGAAGTAATTCGCTTCTCCTTCTTCCTAGTCTGTCTTAGGAAGCTCTACTGAAACTTGTCTACCATGGGTGACCCTGCTGATATTTCAAATACTGGTGGCATAGCTTCCAGCATCACAGCAATATACAAGCCACCACAGTAGGACAAACTGACAGACTTGCAGGGTAGATGGGAGAATTATGTTTATACACTACTTGGCACAAGACCAAGCACTTAATGGACTCTTTATAAATGTAAGTTATTGCCATCATTAGAGTCAATAAGATGTGCAAAGAAAGTCCTAATTTCCGAACAATCAGCCATTGAAAATCCTGTGGAGCACAGGCCTACTCTGACACACATAGGGTCACCAGGCATCAGAATCAGCTCCATGGCAACTGGTGGTTATTGGCATCAGTAGAAGAACGGTGTGGTCATTATTGCTCGGGTATACCACTACATCTGTAGCTCAGAAAGTCAGTGGGGATTATCTGGAGGTTAATTCCAGTCCAGTGATGGGGAACTGTGCTCAGAATTTGGGAGCCTCTCCAGAGGCAGTAGGTAGATAAGGTGTTTCCTCTCAAGGCTCTGATCCCCAGCAGAACAAAAGGAAAAAGAGCCTTGCTCTTGGGCAGCCCTCCCTTCCTTTTCCTGCTGTGAGGAGCGAGCAGAAATCACATTCTTGCTCAGGTGACCATTCCCTTTTCCTTTCCCGCCCTACCCTTCATGTTTCCTCTTAGCCAACCTGCAAGAATAGTCAAGAAGCCCCTCAGAGGGTAGCAGAAAGGCACTTCAGACAGCCTCTTTCCCTGGTGCCCAAGTGCTGATCTCTGGGTAGGACAAGGGACAAATTTAGAGAAACAGCGACCAGTGGAAATGCTGTCACTGAATGTTCCTCACAGCTATTTTCCCCTTCACACGCATCCCTATGCTGGACACCCTAGACACATAATTGAATCTGGGTCACGTGGGCCAGAAGGGTGTGGCTCCCCAGCAGGACAAGTAGGTTGCCCTACTCCCAAGTATAACTCCTTCCACACTCCCAGGTGGATCCTCTTTTATGGTTATTTCTCCCTAGACCCCATGCTGAGATGGAAGAGAAAGCCTGTGGAAGGAGGTGGGCACAGGGTCTGGCTAAGTTGTGCTTGTAGCCCCAGGTGTGCTGATGGCTCTGGTCATCAGATCAAACCTTATGAGACTGTTAAGGATCTTTACACTGCTTTGCACTCAAGGTGGGGAAAGACGAATTGGAGATATAAGCTTGATATCATTTCCCTGGAGTCCTGCTGTGGCACTGTAGGATAAGCTCTGGAATGCTAACCCCAAGGTTGGTGGTTCAAACCCACCAGCTACTCCTCAGAAACCTGATACAAGATCACTATGAGCTGGAACTGACTCGATGGCACTTAACAAAACATCATTTTCCTATTCATTCATTTCCTCAACATAGCTCTTCTATTTCTGGGAAGCTTTGGATAAGTCCAGGTATCTCACAAGGAGGCTTCAAAATGCTCATGGAAAAATTCCATTATCTTTTAATTCCAGTTTTCCACAAACTTTTAGAAGCCCCTTTGTATTTTACGGCCTGTGTTGTATGGACAGTAACCATTCAGAATGGAGCATTGCAGCCCAGTCCTGGCGTCCCCTGCTGCTTCATTTGCTATGTTACCTTTAGCTATTGGACCATGGGGTAGGTGGGTAGGTACCAGGGAAGGGAGGTAGAAGGATCAGGCAGCAACCAGAATGGAAGTACTTCAATAATTTAACTGAAATTAGCACTGCCCACAAGCAGCCACCATCCCCTGTCCCTTTGCCAAGCCTCCATCCACTATCAATTTGTCCTGTTCCACTGCCTGCCCTCCTCCTATCTGCTCCCCTATGGTAGCTCTTTGCCCTTTAAGGTTGCAGCTTGAAGAGCAGTGTAGTTACTGAACTAGGACCCTGAGAGCAAGTCCCAGCTCTGCTTCTCCCCAGCTGTGTGACCTTGAACAAGTCATTCCATTTCCTTAAGTCTCATTTTCATCTACAAATTAGGCTAATACCCATGCAGGGTGGAAACTGTGTCCCAGGTGACCATGTGCCCTTGAAGGTGCTTGGTAATCTGCTTCTCAGATGTCACTATTACCTTCTGATGACACCTGGATGACAATGTTGAGGGAGGAAAACAGGAACTATAAAGTGCCCTCTCCTCATGCCTCTAGGGACCTCATCCCTCCAAAGGACAGCAGAGGCCTTAGCTCAGGGCAAAGCCTGCCCTACCCACCCTCTGCCTTCCTGCTCCTCCTGCTTCAGGGTAGAGGCTCCGGTGGGGGTGGGGGGTGGGGGAGAGATGCTGTTGCAGGAGCAGCCTGAGAACCCAGCACTATTCAGAGCATTTATAGCATCATCATCACCAATCAGGGTGGGCTTCCCAAAGGTGGGGGTGGGGCGGACTTGATACAGGGCTTTGCCAAGAGGACATGAGAAGTGAAAAGAACTCTGTAGGTAAAGGGGGCATTCTGATCACCCCACCTCACCCTAGCACCAACTCTACAGTCCCAGGACCACAGGAAGCTCAGATCCTGGCTCCATTCACTTTCTAACTGTATGATCGTGGGCAAGTTATTTAACTTTTCAGTTTCTGTTTCTCAGCAGTTAAAAAAGCAAAGCAAAACACTGCCATTGGTTGACAGAAATGAGCAACTTAGACATTGGCTAACCAAAAAAGGGGTGGGGGCTGCTACAAAGGCAAGAAGTGACAGCCTTACAAGCTTTCAAGAGGGAGCCTAGTTCTGCAGGGTATGGGATGGGGTAGAATCTCCACTGAGTGGTTTCCAATCTGCCTGGATGGGGCTGATGAAAGGAGATGGGGATAAGACTCTTGTGGTACAATAGTGAATAATTGCTATCAGGACTGACTGTGAGTGTTGAAAATGTAAAGGGAGACATGTTGTAGCAAAAGGAGGGGACTGGCTGACTTTGCAGTCCAGGAGAGGAGGTCACTGGGACCATCAAGGGAGAGGAGTGGAGTGCAGGACCCTAACCAGAGAAGCAGTGATGGCAAAGATGATGGACATGGAGAGATGGAGCAGCTGGGGACTCTAGACTCAGGGAGGGAGAGGGGCTGTGTGCTGGTGGCCAGGAGGCAGGCTTATAGGGTGTATCTTTTGGTTGTTTGATGATGCATGGAGGGGATTGTAACCATGGCAATGAAAAGATATAGGATAGGATGAATGTAAAGCTAATGTTCTCCCATGTAAACTATCACATAATTCAAAATAAAAACAAAACAAAAAAAGTTCATGGAAAAATTAAAACAAAAAATACTGTCATGACTCTATATAAGTTTCTAAGGCTAAATCTTTACAGGGAGTAGACAGCCTCATCTTTCTTAGACAGAATACCCCAACATCTAACTCACAGCTCCAGCAGGGCTACTAAGATTAATAAGATAATGTGTAAATGATAGATAAAACTGCATGTTGTGATGCTTGACATATAACAAGCACTCAACCTTTGATAGCTCTTAATATTGAAGTTATTTCCACCCCAGGTCGCTCTGCAGAAATTGAAGACAGAAGAGTACATTCAGCAGAAGAGAGAACTTCTGGCCCTCTATCGGGACCAGGAGTCCTCAGGCACCAGGTCCTCCAGTCCTTCCCTAGAGGGCTCTCAGAGCAACGCAGAGGGGAGGTAAGTAGGGAGGCTGCAGGTTAAGGAGGGAAAGAGAAGGGACTCTTGAGGCTGAGAAATGGAATTCCAACTTTTGGGGAGTTTGGAACTAACTAGATCAAGGAACCCAGGCTACAGGTTGGAGGCAAGTACGTTGGCATCTGCCTTGTAAAGGGTTGAATGAGGCAGCCCATGGGGTGAGCCAGAGCAGAACTGACACGAGGTAAAGGAAACAAGAGATTCGAAGTGCTAGAGAGGAACAGGCTCCCACGCCAGGGTCAGAGAATGAAGGTGAGTATGGACTTGCAGAATGTCAGAACTGCAGGGATACAGCCAGTCCAGAGGGTAAGAGGGTTGATTACCCAGGATTACACAGCAATTTAACAGCATGGTTGGTATGGAGAAAAAATAACCCACAGCTGGTGATAACCTTGATCAAGGGCTAGCCTAGATGCTTTGCCTAAAATGGTTCAGAGGCAGTCCTTGTCTTTAAGCTTATAGTCTAGCCAAGGAATGAGAAACATACACAGTGCTGTGTATAGGTGAAACTGAAATAGGTCCTGAGGGGCTATTTCTAGAATGAGTGGTCAAGGGAGATTTCCTGGACTTGAAGTTGACCCCTAGACCTCTGACTCTGATCATTCGCTATAAATTGTAGGACTCCTGAGTTCTCAACCATTATCCCACAACTGGTGGTGACGGAAGACACAGATGATGACACTCCCTCAGCACCAGACTCTGGCTACGGCACTTTGATTCCAAGCTCCCCTAAGGAAACCCACTCTCCTCTCAGCCGTCTACGCATGCGGGCCCTTCGGCGGGACCCTCGCCTCACCTTCTCCAACCTAGACCTCCGAAATGTTCCTTTGCGTCCCCAGCCCCCTGACTCCCAAGCTCCCCAACGCCGAAGCGCCCCTGAACTGCCAGAAGATAGCATCCGAAGAGGAAGTAGTCTTCCCAGGGGAGACCCTCCCACCTGGTCTGAGGAAGAAGATGGAACTTCAGGGGGAGGGAATGTGGTGGTGGAAACCCTTCACAGGACCCGATTTCTGGGCCAACTCCCCTCATCCCCAACGCAAGTGGACTCTGCTGGGGAAAGCCCCTGGGATTCCTCAGGAGATGAAGAGGAAGGGTCCCTCTTCCTGGAACCCAGCCAGGCCCCCTCTTCACATCCTCTCCGGGCTGAAGACATACTCAGAGAGATCCGGGAGGATCTGGCCAGCCAGAGGATTGAGGGCTCCCCAGAGCCGAGAGACAGAAAGCCTCAGAAATTGACGAAGATGCAACTGCAGAGGATGCGAGGGCCCCACTTCATACAGCTGGACACCCCCCTATCCACATCGTAAGTGCAGAAGGGAAGCAGGGATGGAGGGGGGTGGAGGAGCAAAGGGTTCTTTGGCTCACTCTTTACCAGAGTCTGACTCTCACACCCTTCCTGCCAATGACTTTTGCCTAAAAGCTACTTGCTTTCTTTTCAGAGAGGCGTGAGGGACACAGAACCTTTGGCATCTCTCCCAGAGGAAACCTTACCCCAAGTGTACTGGTCATCACCTCATCCCTGGCCTCTACCTCAAGGACCACACCGCCTGTTAAGAAGCCTGGCCCCCAGCACTCTGCCCTCTTGATTCTGTGGGCTTTGGGAATCAAGAACTGTCAATTTATGTATCAGACACACCTGAGTCCCACATAAAGTTGTACATAAAAATGAACGCTCAGCGCTACGTGGGGGTGGGAAGAACCAGGGAGAGGGAGACACAGTGAACACTGTCTGTGCTTCTGACAGCCACCAGTGAGAGGTGGCGGGATCTCTGGTCCTGTTGTGGGCCATCAAGTCAATATCACTCACAGTGAACCTACAGAATGGGGTGCAACTGCTCCACAGGGTTCTCTAGGCTGCCATATTCACAAGGGCGGATCACCAGATCTTTTCTCTAGCATAGCTGCTGATGGGTGGGAACAGATGTTAACCTCTCCTCCATTTAGCAGTCAAGGTCTTAACCACTTAACCCAGGGCTGCTTTCTCTGGCTCTATATAGTCAGGAGTTCTGGTGTGGCATTGTGGGTTAATGCGCTAGACTGCAAAGCCGTTTGAACTGCAAGATCACTGGTTCAAGCCCACCAGTCACTCCTTGGAAACCCTATGCAGGGTTACTTTGGGTCGGAACTGACTCGACGGCACTTAACATCATATAGTCAGGACTTTTCCCATCCCACCCACCAGGATCCGGGTCTCTGGCCCAGTCTCTCACACCAACCATGCAGACAGACCACGACTCCCAGGAGGAGCAGTTTTAATTCAGAGTTTTAGTGTATTTACAAAAGTCTTTAGCTTCAGCTGGAGGCCCCATTGTTCTGTGCTTGTTCTACTTACTCTGCTTATTCAGGCAGGGGGCAAGGGGCGCCAAGTTTCTTAGTGTAACATAATGGATACAAAACTGCTTATCTATTGTGAAAAGGGCTCAGGGACCAGCCAGGGGCCTCTAAGCTGCCTTGTGACACGCCTTATCCCTGAAACCACCCACAAGGACTCACCTCACACTCACCTTCATTATCACACACACACACACACACCACACACACAAACACACACACACACCAAACCTCTCGCACACACGGCCAAGAAACTATATACACGGAGGGGGTAGCACCAAGCAAGTGGCTGCCTACTCATGGCTGCCCCTCCATGACCCTTCCTCTCCAGAATAAAGGGGGTCAAGAATGCATCTCCTAGCATTGTCCTTCCCAGCCTAGGAGCAGGAAGCAGCTGTCACTAAGGGCAAGCCACGCCCAAGAGGCTGTGGGCGTGGTCTCATAGGGGGAGGCGGGACTCCAGGTTCGCAGAGCCGCTCAGCGCCTCCTCAATGGCCTCTAGGCAGCCACGTAGGTCCATGTCGCAGAGGACACTGCCTAAGAGCTCCAGCGTGGCGTTGCGTCGTGGGGTCCGCTGCTGCCAGGTCTCTAGCATGCTGTAGTAAGCTTCGCGCAGGCAGCGCCCGTTCTGCAGCTCCAGCCGTTCAATCTCATGATTATTCAGTCCCAGGCGCCGCATGAACTCCTTCCAGCGCGATGGGGGCACACCGTCCACCACCGCATACAAGGTGGTAGGGTTCACTGGGGGAGAGGGATGCAGGGCCGCCGTGAGCCTCCAGTCAGGGCCCAGGGCGGGGGTCCCAGAGCAAGCACCTTCTAGGAGCTCTGCCTGCTCCCTCCCTAGCCCCACCTCTCCTGGATCCTACTAGGAACTCACTATCAGAAAACGTGTTCCTGCCGTCATCCTCCTTCTCCTCCTCCTTCGGGGGAGGTGGAGGGATCTGGGTGGCAGTAGGGGCTGCTGTGAGGATGGGGCCAGCCTCCTGGTAGGGTGGGGCCATTCCTTCGGGAGGGAGGGCCTTCCAGAAGGTGGACCACTCATTGGGAGAAAAGGTGGAGCTGAAAGTGGGACTGAAGCCCTGGTTAGGACTAAAGTTCAAAGACGGGTTGAAGACTGGGGCTAGGGGCTTCGTGATGACCCCTTCCAAATCCCCCTGAAAGAGAGAAGAGACAAAGTTGGTGGGGGAGAGAAAGCACATCCCAGCCCTCTTGGGATGCTCAGTGGATTAGAGACAATTAGGGGAGTCCCTGGCCAATACCAGTTGATTCTGGGATTTCAGGTAGGTCCTCATTTCATCTCACCTGTTTTTCAAGTGTTGATTTTCCACAGACTAAGAGAGAGGAAAAAAAAGTCACAAATTTTACTTCCCCTAATATGTCCCCTCCTCCCCCCAGTATAATCTCTACTGGAGATGGCTATAGAGATTTGTGGTGACATGCTTCAAGGCTTGCGTGGCCCCAGAGACAAGAGAACTATTGATGCAGCATGGCCTCACCAGCCTTCCAGGACTACCACTTCCTGCCACAAGCTCTCATTTCCTCCAAAGCCCCTCCCACCACATCCCCACCAATACCCTCTCCCCTCCCAAAGGCCCCACTTACCAATAGAGTAGAGCTTTGACTTCCATCGTTGGTACCTGCACATTATGCCAATGAAGAAGGATAAAAGGCAAAGACCAAAGAGGATCACCAGAGGCAACAGCACTGTGGTGCCTGGAAACAAAGTAGATCCCTGTCAGAGGATGGCAGTAAGGATCCGGGAGAGGGCTGTTGAGCATGGGGAACTTCTCACCTGTATCCTGGGAGCCCGTAACCAGTCCAGTTGGGGGTAGACACAACTTCTTGCAGTCCACGTCATTCTTACAGCTAAAAGAGCAGATGGCAATAGTGTGTAAGATCCCAACCACAGAAGGAACCCAGAAAAAAAAGCCACAGATTGTTGGGAATTCTCTGTTTTATATTTTATATTTTAGCTTTGTCTGGATATAATAGAACTTGATTATCATTGGGAATTGATACAGAGGATGAAACATAGTCATAGAATCACTGAATTTTAAAACTGGAAAGGGATCTTGAAAAGAGTATAGAAAAAGTTAGGTCACATATACAAAGGGGCTTCACAAAGCTAGTAGAAAAATGGAATAAAAAGATAATAGAATTTTCCCACAAACTTTTGAAGTCTCCTTGTACATTCCAGCTTATTCATTCACTGACAGTGTCATTTAACATCTAGGCTTCAATCTCCTCATAAACAAAATAGGGATCATACTCACGTCTCAGAATTGAGGTACAAATGAGATACGTATGCCCACATAGAGTAACAGTCAGCGGCTGTCTAGTCAGTTCTAACTCTTATTGTATAATTGTATCTTAGTATTACATCATGACACTACTAAGTATGAAACCTGATGACCTTGATGTGCATATAAAATTTTTAAAATACATATGGCTAGTAGCGGCCATTACAAGTCCTGGTGTAGTGCTGTAGGATATACACTGAGCGCAAGGTTGGTTTGAATCACTAGCTCAAACTCACTAGTCACTCCTTGGGAAACCCTATACAGGTCGCTATGAGTCGGAACTGACTGATGGCACTTAACAACAACAACGGCAGCCATTCGCTGCCCATTATATGAGTACTTCAGAGTCCTGGTGTGGACCTATAGGAAAAGCGCTGGACCTCAAGGTCATTTGAATCACAAGGTCGGTGGTGCAAACTCACCTCAGAAACCCTATACAGGGTCACTATGAGTCAGAACCAACTCAACAGCACTTACAGCAACATTGAGTACTTTATACTTTGGACATGTGATCAGGACCTCACGCTTGGTAAAGCAGAGGGGTCAGTGAGAAATGGACAGACACAGTGACTGCAACCATGGGCTCAATCATAGCAGTGATTATGAAGATGGCATGGCGCAGGACCAGGCAGTGTTCAGTTCTGTTGTACGTAGGGTTTGCTTTAAGTCGGGACCCACTTAATGGCACCTGACAACAACAACAAAGGCAGCCAGAGAACAAGCACATCCTCCTGTGTGTGTTGGGAACTATCACTGAACAGCATGAGTTGCCAAGTGCCGAGGCAGGCCTGGAAGGACCTTGAGAAGGTGACATCTAAAAACAGGAAGAGGCATTTCACACCCACCTCACAGAGCCACAGGAAATGGGTACAAAACCTTTCCCTAGGAGAACGGACAAAACTTGGTGGGAAAATGGGAAAATAAATCATTTTGTGTCAGCTCTTTATAGGTATTTTTTGTGGTTTTCATAGCTTCACAAAGTTGGTGTCATTATCCTTACCTTAAATGTATGGATAAGATTCAGAGATATTAAGTAGCTTATTCAAGGCCACATAGCCATGACGTGGCTAAGCTGAGGTTTCAACCCATATGATTTAACTCAACAGGCCTCAGAGTTTCTTCTCTGTCCTAAAATGGGAGGTCTTTCAAAAGGCAAAAGATGTACAATAGAGAGGAGGGAGGGAGAGGGGAGGTCATTTCCATATATACAAGGTAGGCACAGGATCACCTCTTAGAAATGTCTTTTTCAAACAGCAGCCAAAGATACTCTAAAAAGTAGAAGCATTCTTATAAATGATGTTGTTGTTGTTAAGTGCCATATAATTGGTTCTGACTCATAGCAACCCTTATAGGGTTTCTGAGAAGCAGCCGGTGGGTTTGAACCACAGACCTTGTGGTTCGCAGTCCAGTACTTATCCTATAGCGCCACACCAAATAGGAATATCCTTTTAAAATGGGACTTGTGGAGACAGTTCATGTGTAGTGCAGTGAATTATTGAGTATCTTTTCTTGCCATAGTCTTTGTAAACTCCCACCAAACAACTTTTTCCTGATGGGTCTTTGCTGATAAGAGAAGGTAGGGGAAGATGCTGAGGGATTATATGATTCAATGTAAGGATTAACAAGGCCAAAAAAAAAGTCAAAAATTTCACTTCCCCTCATATGTCCCCTCCTCCCCCCAGTATAATAATCTCTACTGGGGATGGCCAATTTTGCGATCCTGCTGAGTATAAAATAAGCCATCTCAGAAGCAGGAATGAGGGGATCTTGCTACCGTCAAAGAAAAGCCAGAAGTGGAGTGCATCCTATAGACCCTGAGATCCCTGTGCATTGAAGCTCCTCAACCCAGGGAGAGAAAACTGTGACACCGCAGAAGTAGGAGAAACACAACAGCAGCAAAACTAAGAACCAGAGCATAAGGCAGAGTGGTGGCCTTCCAGCCCACAGAGCCAGTTAAGCTGAGTGACTTTGGGGCAGGAAGCTTACTTAGAGTGGGATGCCTCTGGCACTTAATTGAAGGACTAGGTTTGCTGACCTCCAGAGTTAGTGTCCAGCGACTATACACCGAGGTTTATGGTAAAGTGGTGTGACCTGTGGGAATTTACCAGCAACCCTAAAACAGCTTTATACCATTGGCCAGGCAGAGAGAGGCCTGCCTGCGGGGCACTGCTGAGGAGTGGCTGTTCTGACAGGAAGAGCTGTCTGTGTCCTGAGCATTTTCTGATGCTGCCTTGTAACCGGTTAACTTCCCTAATAAACCCCATAGTTGTGAGTATTGCCTCTGAGTTTTATGTGGCCATTGCAATGAATTATTGAACCCACAGGAGAAGTAGAAAGTGCTACGGAAGGGATGGTTTGTGGCCACTGTTGTTTATATTCTGTGAATTCAGGAAAAAAGTGAAATGACATACATTCTTTCTTGCTATGTCTAGATGTGTATCAGACATGATGCTGCTTTAAATGGGAGGTTGCTGACAGGGAGGACTAAGGGAACTGGGAGATATTAAAGTCCTTTCTGGAAAAAGCAGAACAGGTGGCCACCTGAGGAGGTAGCATCCTTTTCTGGAGGAGCACTGGATTTGGAGTGAGTATACAGACCTAGATACAGGTCCAGGATCTTGCTGAGTTAATCTTGATCTCATCCGTTAACCTGAGACTTAATTTCTGCATGTCTATTACAGGTAAGGCAGGTCTTATTTCTAGTTTTATTTGTTGAGAGACTTGATATGTGAGAATGGGCACTGAAAACTGCAAAGGACTGTGTTATTTTGTTGCACATAACTGAGTGCTAGGTGTTGGTTAGCAGGCCCTGGTGGCACATTGGTTGAACACTTGGCTACTAACTAAAAAGTTGGCTATTTGAACCTACTCACTACCTCCATGGGAGAAAGGCCTGGTGATCTGCTTCCATGAAGATTGGTGTTGTTGTTGTTAAGTGCCGTCAAGTAGGTTCTGACCCATAGCGACCCTGAATAGGATTTCCGAGGCTGTATATCTTTACGGGAGCAGAAAGCCTCATCTTTCTCCCATGGAGCAGCTGGTAGTTTCGAACTGCTGACCTTGTGATTCGCTGCTCGATTCATAACCACTACGCTACAGAGCTCCATGAAGATTATAGCCTCAAAAACCCTACAAGAAGATTCTACTCTGTCACATGGGGTTGCTATGAGTCAAAAATCAACTTGATGGTACCCAACAACAATAAGGTATTAGTTACAGGTCTAAGTAGGGTCAGAGTTCACCATTCTGCCACAGCATGTAAGTCCCCCAAGCACAGCCTGGGCACCTAGACACTGCAAATGTCCAGTGGTTGTGTCTGTGGAGCCAGAGGACGGAGTGAGGTGGCCTAGTCAGAGAGACAATATTGCATCGAACCTGCCAGGTCATCCATCAGTAAGTAAGAAGCACCACTGTTTATGTACCACACATATAACACAAAGCTGCCAATTAAAACATGATATATCAAGCGTTAATAGGATGTATCCCAATTTTAAAAATAGGAACTTCTATCACCAAAGACTTCTTAAGGATTGAGGGAAAGTAAGACAAGGAGGACTGTCTTGACATACAGTGTACTCCACTCAACAGTCAGTGGAGTCAGACCACCCTGGAGTGTGTTGTCCCTTGGTCTACCAGTGACTCTGCCCCATGGTCATCCTACCCCACCCCATATATCCCACTTCATACCCTGCAGCCGGCAGGGATACTCACTTGCTACAGGCAACACACACATTTTTCCTGAAAAAGAACCCTGCATGGCAGGTGCACACAGTGTCTTCAGTCTTCTGACCTGTGGGAAGAAGTGCAGTGTAGCTAAGGGCAGGAAGAAGAGTAAGGAAGGTCAGGGGATGGAAGACCAATGTGGAATGGTGCTCAGAACTGTCAGAGAGGATAGGAAATGCTTCCTCATGGGGGAGAGGGTGCAGAAACGTGGAGGCTTTCCTCTTGGAGGGCTAGTCTGACCCCTGTGGTGGGAAAGGGGTTTGGGGACAGGAGGGCCATGCTTACAGGGGCGAAGCACAGTGCCATTGAGGCAGAGACTGCAGTTCAGACACTGGAAAAGGGTTGTACTCAGAAAACGCTGATACTGATTCTTCTTGCAGCCACATACGGTGTCCTGGAACACTGTACAAGATGAAACTTCCACCTGGTCCATTTCTAGGGAGAGGAAGAGACAGTGAGTGGAAGTCCCATGTACCCATCCATATGAATGCCCTTTGCCCTTCCCTAAAGCCTACAGTGTTGCTCTAATACATGTTCACACCCATGTGCACTCACAGATCTACACAGTTCCACCCACACCCACCAGCCCATGTTGGCACACTCTCACACACACACCTGTTGACACCCACCTGACTCTCCAGACAAGCACACTTCTTTGAACGCCCCTGCCCTCTCCTAAGACACACCTTTTCGGCATGTGGAGCAGCTGAAGCACTGTTCTAAGTGGTTCTCCAAAGCAATGTAGGTGCCACTTTCACACACCCTGCAGTCCGTGTCCAGTCCTGGGCCTGGGCAGTCATCGTATCGGTAGGTCCCTGTTATTGGATATGAGAGTCAGAGAGCAGACAAGCACTCAAGGAAGGTGACCCATGCGTCCAGGGCCACTTCCCTGAAGGAGAAGAAAGAAGAACAAAAGTCCTAGCCAAGGAAAAGGAACAAAGACTTGCAGGGTTTTAGAATATTTGGAAAAAGTCCTGGTGGGTAAGGTCATCGGTTCAACCCCAACAGCTGTTCAGAGGGAGAATGTGCTCCTGTAAATATTTACAGAAACCCTGTCTAGGATAACTATGAGTTGGAACATCATACAAGAAAACAAAAGGTCATTAAGAAGACAAGAAAAAAAAAAAAAAAAAAGACCACAATAGATATCAGAAGAGACTCTGAAACTTACTCTCCAGCATAGAGATGCTAAAGCTAATGGAAGATATGAGGCAGTATTAGAGCTAAATAAAAAATTTCAAAAGGAAGCTCAAGAAGACAAAGTCAAATATTATAACGAAATGCTCAAAAAGACCTGGGAAGAACACGCTCAGCATTTCTCAAGCTGAAAGAGCTGAAGGAAAATATTCAACCCTCAACTTGAAATCTTGAAGAACTCTATCCTGGTACAGCGCTTTGGGTTAATTCGCTGGACAACAAAGTCGGTTTGATCCACAAGGCCGGCGGTTCAAGCTCACCAACTGCTCCTCAGAAACCCTATATAGGGTCGCTATGAGTCAGAATCGACTTGGCGGCACTTAACAACAATAACAACAACATAGGAAAAATACTGAAGGATGCAGAAAGCATCAAAAGAAGATGGAAAGAATATACAGAGTCACTGTACCAAAAAGAAATGATCAATGTTCAACCATTTCAAGAGGTAGCATATGATCAAGAGCTGAAAGTACTGAAGGAAGAAGTCCAAGGCATACTGAAGGCATTGACAAAGAACAAGATTCCACGAATTGATGGGGTATAAATTGACATCATTCAACAAACCAGATGCAGCTCTGAAGGTACTCACTCATCTATACCAGGAAATTTAAAAGACTACTACTTAGCCAACTGACTGGAAGAGATCTATATTTGTGCCCATTCCAAAGCAAGGTGACCCAATGGAATGCAGAAATCATGGGACAGTATCATTAGTGTCACAAGCAAGTAAAATTTTGCTAAATGTAATTCAAAAATGGCTGTAACAGTACATTGGCAGGGAACTGCCAGAGGTTCAAGCCAGATTCAGACAAGGACATGGAACAAGGGGTATTATTGCTGATGTCAGATAGATCTTGACTGAAAGCAGAGAATACCAGAAAGATGTTTACCTGTGAGTTTACCTGTGCTTTACTGACTTTACAAAGGCTTTCAATTATGTGGATCGTGACAAGCTACGGCCAACATTACAAAGAATGAATATTCTGGAACACTTAATTGTGCTCACAAGGAACCTGTACATAGACCAAAAGACAGTTGTTTGAACAGAACAAGGGATACTTAATGGTTTTAAATTAGGAAAGGTGTGCACCAACATTGTATACTTTCACCATATTTATTCAATCTGTATGCTGAGCAAATAATTCGAGAGGTTGAATTATTTGAAGGAGAATGTGGCATCATGATTGGAGTAAAACTCATTAACAATCTGCAATATGCAGATGATACAACCTTGTTTGCTGAAAGCAGAGGACTTAAGATACTTACTGATGAAGATCAAAGACCACAGTCTTTGGTATAGGTTTGTACCTCAGTGTAATAAAACAAAAATCCTCACCACTGTACTAATACATAACATCCATATAAATGGAGAAAAGTTCAAAGTTGTCAAAGACTTCATTTTGCTTGAATCAACCATCGACACTCATGGAAGCAGCAGTCAAGAAATCAAACGACGTATTGCATTAGGCAAATCTGCTGCACAAGAACTTTTTAAAGTGTTGTTGAAGAGCAAAGATGTGAGTTTGAGGACTAAGGTGTGCCTGACCCAAGCCATGGTATTTTCAATAACCTCATATGCATGAGAAAGTTGGACAATGAATAAGGAAGACCGTAGAAGAATTGATTCATTTGAGTTATGGTGTTGGAGGAGAATATTATAACTACCAAGGACTGCCAAAAGAACAAGCAAATTTGTGTTGGAAAAAGTACACCCAGAATGCGTCTTAGAAGCCAAGATGGCCAGACTTTGCTGTCATATTTCAGGCATATTATCAGAAGGGACCAGTCCCTAGAGAAGGACATCATGCCTGGTAAAGTGGAGGGCCAGTGAAAAAGAGAGAGACCCCAATGAGATGGACTGGCACAGTGGCAGCAGCAATGGGCTCAAGTGCAGCTACGATTGTGAGGTTGGCGCAGGACCAGGCAGTGTTTCACTCTTTTTTGCATACGGTTGCTATGAGTCCATATCGACTCACCAGCACCTAACAACAACAACAAATGAGTTGGAATTAACTTAATCACACTGAGTTTTTTGAAAAAGAAAACAGAAGCAGGGTTCCATAACTGGCTACTACTTTTTCCTACCTTTGTGGCACTTGGTACAGCAAATCGAATTATTTTGATGGTGGGGGTATTTCCCCTGGGGACAATGATGGTCTCTCTTCTCTCGGTCCCCAAGGTGGGGGACCAGTCCAATAACTCCTGAGGGATATATTCCCATCAAAAAAGCCAGGATCACCTGTAGAAGAATTAGATTGGCCATTAGAAGAAGCAGGGATGGGAGTCTTAGAGGTAAGCAAGTATAAAAGTTCCCCAGCTCACAGCCTCCCCAAACAGAGGCACAAGCTCCCCAAACCTGCTTTACACACAGTGGTCTTCCTCTAAACCTAGCCAGTTGGCACATTTATAACTAATGCTTAATTATCCTCTAGTTTTCCTGGATGCTAATTTTTTTCTATAATTGATTTTTGTTGTTACTGAGAATGTACACAACAGAACATATACCAATTCAGCGTTCCTACATGTACAATTCAGTGACAATGATGACATTCTTCGAGTTGGCTAACCATTCTGACCCTCCTTTTCCGAGTTGTTCCTTCCCTATTCATATAAACTCACTTGTCCCTAACTAAGCTTCTGATCTAATCTTTTGAGTTGCTATTACAAATCTGATACCATATAGAAAGAGCACGTGCTCAAGGCAGATATTCTTTACTAGTTAGGCTAAACTCCTATTGGACTTTGAGAAGACTTTAGGGAATATTTTTGGTTTAAGATTTAAAGATGATCTCAGGGAACATTCAGATTCCATGACTCCATAAATTCTGAATTCCATGAAAATTAAAAATTCTGTTCTGCATTCCCCCATTTTGATGATAGTTGTTCCATAGAATCTTTAATCAAAATATTCAGTAAAGTTAGCCAGTTATCACCTAGTCCTTGTAGTCTCAAGGCAAAGGAGGCAATTGTTCAAGGAGGCAATTAGCCACACATTCCATAGCCTCCTTCTATTTTCCTAATCTTCTTCTGTTACTCCAGGTGAGGAGAGAGACCAATTGTTGTCTGGGTGTTAATTTTGTCCCTCTAGTAGAACCAACTTAACAGCATGTCACAACAAAGTACCCGCCAGACACAGATTCCATTTGACTCTTATTCTGAATTCCCCAACGGAAGCTAAAAATGCTGACACAGAGCACATGTTCAAGAAAAATATACATTTTTGGATTAGGAAGTGGCAGATGGTCTCCAAGTATAGCCCTTCTTTCCAACACGCAGTCCCAAAGATTGAGGGAATGCTTCCCCACCTGGGTGCTGGGTTCACAGTGGGGTCACTTTGTGAAGATTCACTGAGGTGACCAATTAGGATCTATATGCCTGCCTATATGATGTTATACCAATAAAAAGTCTTGTTTTTTTAGAAATCAGATTAGGGTAAAGGCCAGTGATGGTCCTATGGGCACCATTCCTGTTGAGTGGACAAAAACAGAAGAGGTTCTTTATAAATTTGAACCAAAACTTTACTCAGGATCCTGACCTCACTCTCCATTCGCCATTCCCTTCTGCTACTAAATTTACACCAAACCTCCAGGTTGACAAAGACATAAGGAGAAAGGAATAAAAGGGATAGTTATGAGTCAGGGATGGAACAGGTAGATGTTATGGGTTGAATTGTGTCCCCCACAAAGTCCTGGTATGGTGCTACAGGATAAGCACAGGACTGCTAACAACAAGGTCAACAATCAAACCCAACTGCTTCACAGAACCACTGTGAGAGGGAATAGACTTGATGGCACTCAGCAACAACAAATATCTGTTGAAGTCCTAATTCCTATACTTGTGGATGTAATCTAATTTATAGCAGTCCTGGCATAGCGCTGTGGGTTAATGCGCCAGACTGCAAAGCCATTTGAACTGCAAGGTCGGTGGTTCAAGCTTACCAAGCTGCCCCTTGGAAACCCTATACAGGGTTGCTATGGGTCAGAACTGACTCGATGGCACTTAACAACAACAACAATCCCCTTCCGAAAGGCAACCTAACATAAGGTAAGGTCATGCCACTGTGGGGTGAATCCTAAACCTAATCACTTCTGAGTTATATAAAAACCACCATGTTGTTATTGCTGTTGTTATGTGGTGTTGTCAGTTCCAACTCACAGTAACCCTATATAGGGTTTCTGAGGAGTGGCTGGTGGTCTGAGCCCCCAACATTGTAGTTAGCAGTCCAGTACCTACCTACTGGGACACACCAGGACTCCAAGAACAGCATGGACATACAAATAGGGGCGAGACAGATATCACTTGACAGCTAAGGAGACGGATAAATCTATAAACCCAGGAATTCCAAGGATTGCCAGCTACTAGAAACTGAAACAGACAAAGGAGGACCTCCCTCTAGAGCCATGATCCAGACTCTAGACGTTTACTCTGTGACTGCAGGAAGAATGAATAACTCAGTCTTGGAGGAAGTGCAGCCAAAATGCTGCTCAGCAAGGCTTTGGGCATGTTTTCAGGAAAGACATCAGTGAGAAGGAGGGCAACCCTCCGTGAGACAGACTGACACAATGACTTCAGCAATTATGAAGATGGCACAGCACAGGGTGGTCATGGGTGGTTGAAGCCAACTCAGTGGCAACTAACAACCACCACCAACAGCCTTCAAAACTGTAAGGAAATACATTTCTGTTCTTCAAAGCTACCCACTTGTGGTATTTCTGTTATAGCAACACTAAGTAACTAAAACAGTGGGTCCCAAAGCGTAGGAGGCCAAAGGCATGTAAGTTATATGCAACTAGAGCTGAGCATACAGGCAGGCCTACAGTCCTTTGCACCCCAGGGCATTCTAGAAGGCAAGTTTTACAATCTCAAGCATACTGCAGCTGAATCACCTGCCCCGTTCTGGCTTCAATACCAGGAAAACAAAGCCAGAAGTCGGTGTTTAAGCTTCAACTCAGACTTTGTCCTGTGATCTCTAACCAGCTTCAGACAGACTCCCCACTCCCTCTCCAACCTGGTTTTCTTGGGGAGTTTTGTCCCTACTGTTAAAGCCACCTTCCATAAGTTAAACATTGGAGAGCAACAGTCTAGTCAGATCCAACCTAGAAAAGGAGGGTCTGGAAATCCACAGTCATCCCAGCAATAAACAAGCCCTGCAGCCTGAGCACCCTCCCATTTTGGAGCAGTTAGCACCCTGAGTCACCCACTGGGTGACGCTGCCGCTGCACCTCAGCCACAAACTGGGGAAGCCACACCAGAAACTGCAGGGACGTACTCCCCTGACTCAGGGGCCACAGCCTTCCCCAGTCAGCCCCAATGCTATGCTACCTCCCCAGAGAGCAAGACTGGGGCTGCCAGGGCAGCAGGAAGGGTTTAGGGTGGTTCTAGGAAGAACTTCCCAATCCTGAAAGTCCTGCAGGTTTCGGTTCCTTCCCAAAGACAAAAGAGCTCAGAGCACCTAAGGTGATTGACACTTTGAATCCTAACAGCGGGGCTGAAGCAAAGCCAAACAGCAAACAGAGTTGGGGAAGAAGAATTAGGAGGCTTCAGTCCCTGCACAGCTTTGGAAGACCTTTCCAGGGGTCTCTAGACTGTCGGGCACCAAGAAAGAGAGGTAGAGAGCCTGGCTTTCTCAGGCCACGTGTTCCCCACCCTCTCCAGGTCTAGGAGGGTTAAGTTAGATCCGGGAAAGGGAAATCTTTTCCCAGCAGCTCCGCCCCAGTGACTCAGGCCAGAAGGAGGGAGAAGAGAGTGGGGGAGGGAGAAGGAACTAACTGCTTCTCCAGCGCCTCAAGGGTCATGAGTCAGCAGAAAGACAGAAGGGACCAGTCAGAAATTGGGACCCCATTTGATCCCTTCCTCTTGTGGGCCAGGCTCTCCCTTTTACCACCACTCAGAGTCCCTTTTCCCCAAAAGAGTCAAGCAATGGACCCCTGCACCACTTGGCCCCCATATTTCGGGAAATAGCTCCTTCACCCCCATTCCATCCCAAAGGGAAGTCACCCTCGACCCCTGGCTTCCTACCCACCTCTCCCGGAGGTCCACAAGACTCTCTCCCGCCCCTCAGCATCCTTCCTTTAAACTTGGCCCAGCCCACACCCGTCCTCCACTTGGTTCAGCTAGTCTCTTTCTGATAAACCAGTTCCCTGGGCTCTTGCACAGGCCCCCAGACACTCCCCAGTTCAAGGAAGGAGCAAACCAAGGCTGCCCTCCCACCCTGGGTTCACTGCTTTCCCACAGCCTGGCTGGCTCTGGCCAGTTGTGTGGGGTTTGGGGGCCTCCCTGGAGTCCCCTAAGGCCACTTCTGAGCATCCACAGCCCCTCCTCCAAGCCCACTAGCCACACCGGCAAGCTCCCATTTGGAGGGATGAGCAAGCAAGAAGGGATATAAGGTAGAACCAGCACTCTGGCGGTCCACCAGGCAGCTCACTCGGACCCTAGCCTCTCCACCAAGGTACCCTTTGTTGGCACCAGCTGGCTCTAGTGCTGAGGAGACACCATCTTGAAGCAAAACAGCAGAAACAGGAGATGAGCTCTGAGCTCCCAGACTCTGGCCTGACCAGGTGCCTATCTCCTGGAACAGAGGAAAGGCAGGGTACAGGCAGGAGACCTGTGAATACAAAGTTGAGGAGGTGGCCTCAGCACCCCTTCAACACCCCCACAACTTCCGCCTAGGGAGGCTTTAAAATGCAGCTTCCTGTGCTGTGGCTGCAGAGTGGGGCCCAAGAAGATAAGATGGACTCTGTGGTCTAACCCTGAGCCAGCCACCTCTCCTGGACCCGCTTAGTTACCCACTCTGCACATTCATCTCGTCATTAAGTTAAAATATTTGTTCATTAAATGTCAACGTTTGGGAGCTCATGATAACGCCTCCTCTAAGGTCCCAGTTGAGGTCCCACCTCCCTCCTACGAAGCCCTCCAGCAGTGAGACTTCCCTTACCCAAGCTCATTAGCTCAGTCCCTGTGAACTTGAACAACATGAATTAACTAGATCTGCTTTTTGGTTTATCATACTATGGTTATCTTGGGTGAGTAGATATTATCTCCCCAAATAGACCATAACTCTGTGAGATTAGAGACCAGAGAAAGTCTTGGTCAGAGATAGTGTGATGTCTTGCGCTGCCTCTCAGTACTCAGAACCAGGTAAACAGTGCCCACTCCCAGTAGGAATACATGTATCTCCAGGGGAGAGTTTCCCAAACACACGCACAGACACATACACGTGGCACTCTGACTGCTCATGCTCTCTCCTCCCCTTTTGAGAATCAT